CTGCTGCTGCTGCTACTACCTCTACTGCTGCTACTGCTATTACTATTACTGCTACTGCTGTCATTGCTGCTACTAGTACTTGCTACCCCACACGAAGCCGTTCGGGAACCCTTACAACCGTGCAGTAACCTCTAGAATGGGCCTCCACCCAATCCACGAGGATTACCGCAATACGGGGATGAATCTTCGAGCTGTGCTGGCCTCCCCATGTCTTTCAACGGATGGAGAGGCATCGGGGTTCACATTTTACGTTTTGTAAGGGGTCTTCAAAGGTTTTTTTCGGGTTTTAGATGGGTTTACGGCACTCTGTGAACTGTAGGGCTCCGGGATGCCTGTAAGCAGGGTTTGCTTTTGGAGGGGTCTGGGCTTTCAGGGTTTGGGGTTCCGGTTTTTGGACTTAGGGTTTCAAGGTTTGGGGGTGGGCTTCAGAGGACTAATCCTTATGGCTCCTGAATGGAACTTTGCCACAGTATATCGTGTAATATGTTAAAATGCTATTGCAATTATATGTCCCAAGATTATTGTGTAGGTGACTTGAAACACAAGCTAACCTGAAGCAAAAGCACCACAGGCCCAAACCCACCCACCCATGACACCGTCAGTGAACCAACGTGCTGACCCCTACGCACTAAACCACGACGTGGATCCTAGCACGGTGGAAGCATGTGTGTTTATTTGGCCACTCGACACGCCAAGAAAGCCCTATCCCAAACCGCACACCCTAGGTCCCCAGGTCCAAAATCCTCCAACACCTTCATACCAAATCCTCTCGTAAACCTTAGGAGCCTGAACACGGTGTATAATTAGGGTAAGCATAGGAAAAAAGGGCCCGCGAATTTGAGCCGAGGCCTAGAAATGCCAGCCTGACCTGAACCCCAAAGAACCCTACCTGCTTCAGGAATAGATTTACAAAATCATAGCAAGGATAGTGAAGAAGGGGTCGGAAAGGATTGAAGGTAAGCCCTGAAGGTCCTGGCGGTCCTAGCTTGCTTGAAGGATGCAGACGTGGCAGTTTCTCGGCCGTACCTTCGGACCAAACCATTTTGTAAACCCTACAAAACCCTAAACTCAACCTACGAAACCCTAGCCTAGCCCGTCAGTTCTCCTCGTAGCCTACCGACAGACGTCAGTGTAGATTCGAAGGAGGAAGCCTCCAGTCAGGTGTCGGGTTTGGTTATTGTGGATTTTAGGTTTGGGGCTTGAGGGTTTTGGGGTTTGGTTAGGGTTTCAGGCTTTACGGAGATGTCATAGCAACATTTGCTTGTGCTGTATTGCTGTCGGTTGCTTGCTTTTGCTGTGGGCTTCGCTATCTACACGCAGAGACGCGACGGTTTTTGTGCTGCCCAGAATCAATCAAACCAACCGTGGTACGGACCATACCCGAGAATAACACTGAGGAACCAAAGAGACCGAATACGGCCTTCACCAGGAAAATGAGATGTTCACTCCATGAAGCAATTAATTGTGGTGAACTAAAGTTTCGCAACCAGCACCCTCATCAGCATGACGCTTTTGCAGCTTGCACCCTCTCAACACTGGGAAAACCACTGCTGCAGGAATCAAAGGTGGTAGCAGTTGGCTTGTACGTAGGATGAGTTGTCACTACTGGTCGCCGCTAGCACCGTCTTCCTGTCATCTCTGTCGTCATTGCCGTCATCATTGGCATGATCTGCCCCAGCACTACAATACGGAGCTGCGTTCCATTGCAACACCCTGAGCAGCCGCAGCCAGCAGGAGGCAGCAACAGATACATCAACAGCATCTGCTACACCACCATCAGCAGTAAGTAAGCAAACATCCATCGACGACGAGGACTTCGACGAAGTGTCCTACAGCAGCTACATGACACGCAGACATGATGATATATGCGCACATCTCATTCATCGCCGCTATCACACTCCCCATCATGACGTGCTTTCCTCTTCATCTATACCTGCATATTCACCATAATCGTCATTATCATCTTCATCTTCTTCATCCTCATCATCAGGGCTATCCATCACCGTCATCTGCCCCATCATACCCTCTACTCACTGCAGCTGCCATCTTCTGCAACTATGAAGATGGAAATCGGCGAGCGTTAGCCCTGATGATATCTACCTCTGCCCTAGTGGTTTCGATGCTGGACATATAAGTGATGATTAGCCAGTGTGGATAGTTTGAACTCTAAACCAGATACAGTAGTTGGCAGTCGTCCCCGCAGAAAGGTCAGCAAGTACTGCTAAGATCGGATACTTACATACATTGCACAAGTTCGGATGCAACAAAGATGGATGGCATCGAACCTCCTTGTTCTGACTCCCGAAAGGTCATCCATGTATCCACTTGTTTTGAACCTTGCGTTCTTCGCAGATTTCCTTCATCTCTGATTCTAAAGCTCTCTCTATATATATATATATATATAAAAATATACACAGGTGTATGTATACATATATAGTTTTTGATGTAAAATCAGGGCTGCTGAATCGGTGTAGACCTTAAGTCCTAAGCCCGGTAGAAGCCCCAAAACCCCACACAAGGCGCTCGAAGCGCAGTGCGCGAGCACAGACCAAAATCTGAAGCTTAAACCCTAAACCCCTAAACCCTAAACTCTAAACCCTTAACCCTTAACCCTAAACCCCTAAACCCTAAACCCTAAACCCCTAAACCCCAAACTCCCTCCCCCTGAACCTTCATCTGTTTGTCCCTACAACCCCTAAACCCTAAACCCTAAACCCCTAAACCCTATACCCTAAGGCCATGTTTCCAAGACCGTAGACTCCAGACTCCCAGCCGTAGACCCTGGATCCCTTGCCCCGAAGGCGTCTACACCCAAAAGACTGCCACGGTTTAGGGTTTGGGGTTTAGGGTTTTGGGTTCCCAGCTGATTGCCAGAGCCTGGGTTCAAAAGGGTTTTGGGTTTAGGGTTTAGGGTCCTAAACTCCTAAACCCTAAAGAAACGCTAAGTAAGCCAGGCTCCTTTCTCGGCTTCAGACGTCCGTTTCTTGAATGCCGTGGCGAATAACGTGGCCATCAACTTGCAGGGCACAGGTGCCAGCCTCCAGAGCTCCGGCGAAGTACCTAGGAAGTCCGGTTTACGGTTGAGGGGTTACATATGTACATATTTGCGTGTGTACATTTATATAGATATATGCAGTATATTTACATGTTTTATATAGTGTGTATATATATATATATATACATGTGTGTGTACTGCATGGTATATGTTTTTGTTTAGAGCTGTTCTATATCTACACATTCTTATTCCTTGATTTTGTTCGTTGACGTGTGTGTCTGGCTATTTTTGGAAAGGGGAAGGTGATCTGCAGCGGTTCGGGTTTAGGGATGTGGAGTTAGGACGGTTTAGGATCTAAGGGCAAAGCCATTAGGATGTCTTGGTGCTGTTGTGATTGAATCAGGATTCAGGCTTTAGGGCTGTTGGGGCTGGGGTTAGACGACGAGAGGTTGGGTTTCAGCATGCTTTCTGTAGCGGAATTCGGGATTCCAAGAAGAGGGCACCATATTTGACGAGGACGAGGCCATGTCTGTTGGTCGGTAAGAAAGGCCTGGCATTCGTCTAGTCTAGGCTTTGGCGGATGAGTGCTGCGCACTACTGGTGCTTGAAGGCAACTTGAAGGCAGACGCAACGTGAGATCTACCGATGAACCTACAAGGTGTTTTACCCCTTTCAGGAACTTAGCCCAGAACAATAAAGCTCTCCGCATGTCGACCAAGGAGGGTGCTGAAGCAGATGACCTCTCTGTGCCTGGGCCAAGTGTTCGCGAGAGCGTCAAAACGCGTAGCTGTCCCACTCCCGGCCTCAAAACTTGTCGGGCTCTTACCATATGATTAGTCGTAAACCCTAAACACCCTAAACTCTAAACCGTGAATTCGTAGGATTGTCCTGAAATTTGTACATGCTATCTTCTTCGGTTCTCGGGAAGAACTGGGTAAGGGTTTGGGGTTTCCGGGATTTGGGGAAAGGGTTTCAGGATTTGGGGTAGCTGCTCCGGGGCACGATGACGTGTGTTGTGCTTGTATTCTAGCGACCCGAAAAGGACTTAGCATTTTTGTTGAGATATCCGTACCTTCGTGGGATATCCCTATTCGAATTTTTGCTTATGTGTTTTTTGAGCGGCTCTGGTATTGGGGGCGGAAGGGAGGGTCCTGCCTTCCTTTGTCTAGGGGCTGAGTAGGTAACCTTTAACCTTTTGGGGGCTTATGTAAATCCTAGTATAACTCTAAAGGTTAACCTTTTTTGGGCTAGGGTACTCAGCCCCTAAGTTGTGGACAGCTTCAGACTTGAGTATCGTTTGCCTACCCCCCCCCCCAAGTGGAGATGCAAAATGGAGGTCAAACTATCAAGCAATGGGCTCTTGTTCTCCATACTAGAACCCTTTAATATACTCTAGAGCCTGTACTGTAATTCTGAAGGCCCCTGTACGACAGAATCTGAGCTCTTTTTTCCAAGAACGCCATTCAACAACAACTTGCCCGCT